GCGATGGGAATCTGGTCGCTGCTGTGGTTAAAGTATTTTTACAATGACTAGGGGAAGGTAATCTATACAAATTAATTGGTTATCTGACTGTTTTGAATAAATCACTATTTCAGAATGCACGCTCTTTCGAAACGCTATAGTTCATCAATACAGATAGTTGATCTCTGATATCAGAAATGCTATTTTTCAATTAAAGAACATTGTTCTTATTAAAATTATCGAATTAACGCTTCCTTCGACTAAGCATTGAAAGTCTCGAGAATGGCAACAGTCGGAGGAGCGAATCTTCCTCGGTAATATTTAGCGGGGACTTGTTTTGTCTTGGGGAAAAAAGGAATATCCTCCCAAATGTATTCGACGCGTAAACTACTGTCAAATATTCGAAGCGCGAACCCGAGCAACGAACTTGGCGCAGCGGCGGCGGCGGCGGGAATCGGGAGTATCGAAAAAGAAATCCTTTGGAGCGCGGTAAGAAAGGAAAGGGAGAGAAATGAAGGCCCGCGTGCTTTTGTCGGTACGTCATTAAGACATCCGGTCACCGTGTACGGTCGTCGCGTGTGACGCGAGCCGGTATTTCAAAAATATCGAATAAAATACGAGGCAACGCGAAAACAGAGGCGTCCTCGGCTGCCCCTCTATTATCCCCGTCGATGATCCCCGTATTTCATCTTTTATTCGGGATATCGTTCCGACGGATTATTTTTAGCCGTTTCTATTTTGTCATGGCACTCCTGATGGAGAGAGAAACGGCGCTCCTCCCGTTCCGGACCCGGTATCGCGCGCCCGATGTTCCGCGAGGAACGCGCGCCGAACTCTCGCGAGAAATTCTTTTATATTGTAACGACGCCGTATAACTCATCGTTTCTAAACACCGCGCGGACCGCGGCGCATTCCAGCGTTACTGGAATTCGAGGCGAAGCATTTAGACGTTACGTGACCAAGATTCATAAACGATAGAGAGTATGCGACTGAGAATTATGCATCCGTGAGCGTTCGGGAACACTAAGCTATTTCGGACGACGAGAAAAATTGGGGATTTAAAGATTGATCGTATCGAGTAGAAAGTGATATCGCCGTTATTGATTTCGTCTAAGCGGAGGAACAAGGATTATTTGAATCGTAATGTACAACTGTTCCGCGAAAATTGCGGCATTCTAAAAAAATGCTTAAACTCCAAAGAGGCTCTAAAGAGGTTGGCGCGTGTGCACGCCGATAACAAGGAACGTTTAATACCTCGAAACGAGCAACGCTTCGCTAGCAAGAAAAAAGAACCATCAAATTGGTCGGCCAACAAATCCTTGGACCTAAAATTGTTTCGATTCGTGGATCGATCGTAATTTGATTAGCAGCCTTGGATCAACCGACACGGTGACTCACAGATCCGACCAAACAAGGAGGATTGTGTAATATATTATGGTCTTTGCGTTTCAGGGATACTTAGCACAAAATCAATAGATTTAACGAGGCAGGATTTATCATGTATAAATTTATGTAATATTTCGTATCTGGGCTTAGGGAGGATATGATCGGCCATTCCCTCGCAATCATCGTGCATTCCGTTCGAATAGAGTTTATAGGTGAACTCAATTTCTATAATAATCCCGTATGGATGCGCTATATAAACAGGCTAAGTATCTCCGCAGCGAGAGCGCTCGCGGTCGCGCGCGCGCGCGCGCTCGGCTATAAACGAAAAGCTTAACACGAATAGTTCCATTCGCGAGCTTTACGATTCCATCGTCGAACCGCGCGCTATCTCGTTGACAGAGTTAAGTCACGGCACCGGGAATGCGTAAATCGCGCTCGAATCTGAAATAATTCACGTAGCCGCGGGATCGCGGCCCGGCGAACGAGACGCCTGGTAATTCGATTCGGTTTACGCAATTTCGTCGAATCGCGGTTCCCCGTTCGCGATTCGTGTCGCGCGGCGCGGCTCGGCTCGGCGCGGCGTCGCGCCGGCCTGTGGAAGACGATCGACGCGCGAAATTCGAACGACGAGCGCGGATCGGCCGACCGGCAAGGGACCGTACGGTTTCCGTGGCACGGCGCTTGTAAATTGATCGCGACCGCGTCGAGGCTGAAAGCGATCTGCTCGTTAAGTACCGCAGCCTCCGAGAAAGACAGCGCTGGAAAGTGATCCGGCGCGGATCGAGATCGAGATCGAGAAAATAACGACGAAACGTGACGCACTTGCAATTAATGGCGGAAGCGACCTGTCCCTCCGCGGACCTTTGTTTCTCTGGTTACGTTGAATTATTCCCCCACGCGGCGAGCGCAGCGTGTATGCAACCGATGCGCCGACGGTTCGACTCGCAATAACTTTATTCGAACCGAGTTGATTCCCATCTACTATTGCACACATGTCCAATAGAACGAAATCGAATATTTCTGTTTCATTAATTGCGTACCTCGACATTCTTCGTATCGCAATAAACAAAAGATTACTGACAGATACTTTCTACACGGAACTCTTTGTACGTGTCTCGCACGACTGAACGTGTGCGTTATCGGAACATCTTCAAGGTTACGAAGTTATCGGGACGTGAGTTCGTACGATATTAAGCTTTTGGGGGCTAACTTTCAACTGCAGTTATCTGCATCGTAAGAAGATTGAACGTCGAAGCTGTTGCAATCGAGTAGATTACCATTCGGATTTAGCTTACGAGGCAACATTATACGTACCTAATGAAATCCATGAATCCGGTCGTCCGAAGAACCGTTCGTAGCACTTACTCCGTCCCGCACTAGCACACAGTCACAAACATACAGAACGGTCTAAGCATCGAGGCATAAATCGGGGCCGATTCTAGGGTCTATTCACGGGTCATCATTCGTCTCGGGGGCGTCCCCGCGCGGCCATCCCCCGGATATCTTTTTCGCGTTCGCGGACAGGTAACGGAGAACCGTGTCGAGGGATCGGGTCCAGTTTTCGCGGTGCCACCCCGTATATCGCATGGGAAAATAAATCTTGTGGACACTCACCGGGAGGGAGACTGGACACTGGACGCTGTCACCGGACACGGGTTGCAGCGACTGCAACAGATCGCGTGCGTGAAAGAGAGGACGGCTATCAATGGCTGCATTATACAATACCCGGTGGTGGTGTGTATGCACGCGAACGCGGTGCCCGCCGGTGTGCGTGCAATGGAGAGGTGCGTACGTATCGAGACGAGACGGTCCCGCGTATGTAAACGTAGAAGCGAACCGGGTCCGCCGAACGAACGAACGAACGAACGAACGAACAGACCAACGAACAGGCCAACAAACCAACCTACCAACGAACCAACGAACGAACGGTGCGTGCACTGGCAGGTATTCCCGCGAACAGAATCTCTCCCGTATAGAACCCGTCCGCTCCCATACGATCGGGCAACGAGCGCCGAACGAAAACGCCAAGACGTCGAAACGAGACGGTGCATGCCTGACCGGTGCTCCACCCTGTTCTCGGGTTTACTTTTCGACGAGCATTTCGCCGATTAGATATCGACTCTTTTGCAAACACTGCGTTGCACCGCGGGACCGTTCGATTATTGTATCCGATCCTCTCCTCGCCTCCCGTCCCTTTCTCTTTCGCGGTCACCGTTCGTGTCTTGCCA